GAGAGGGAGATACCTTTACAAATGGAGATTTCCCTTATAAATGTAAATGTTTGTCTGGCAACTCCTTGCAGGGCCATCCAGAGAATGTGGCCAGAGACAGAATTTTTGATAAGATGGGCTTGTTGGTGCCTTTCCTATTGTAACATCTATTTTACATTATATTACAGCCATCAGATAGAACTCCTTCCTAGAACAGATCTTCTATGTCAAATTCTTTAGGCAATTAGTGGGGGAGGTCAAATGTCTGTCAGAGAAAATAATCAAGGTAAAGAGAGATATTTCAGGGTAGCCAAATCTTGATCTCCCATAGTGGTTTTTTTGGTTTTGGGGGTTTTTTAATGCTACCTTTGTCAGATAGATCCAGGTTATCCTGGCTTTTCAATATGAGGCAGGAGACTCCTCCTTTCTACATTCACGGCAACAGTTTATTGGTAGAATTACCTACTCTTTAAAGATTAAAAAAAATTCAGCAGTTAAAATGTGTGAACCTGGTGCTTTTGGATGGATATGTCTGAAAAAGTTTTCCATTTGGTCAACGGTTATTGTTTTGTAAGGTTTTCTATTTTTTTTTTTTTTTTGAGGAAGATTGGTCCTGCACTAACACCTGTTGCCAATCTTCCTCTTTTTCTTTTTTCTCCCCAAAGCCCCAGAAGATAGTTGTAGAGTTGTAGCTCTTCTATCTGGGACACCACCTCAACATGGCTTGATGAGTGGTGAGTAGGTCGGCAGCTACCATTGGAACCAGGGAACCCGGGGCCACCGAAGCGGATGCGCAAACCTAACCACTATGCCTCCAGGCCATCCCCAGGCTATCTTTTAACTTAACTATGGTTATCTAAATATTCCTTAAAAAGAATTCATTTCATGCTAATTTCAAACATTATTATTGAATCAGGCAAAGTGTTGTGTTCCCAATCTTATTTTTATGTAGTTACCTCCATTTTCTCATTCTCAGTTTTGCGTATCTGCGCGCTCTCCACCCTTTACTTGACTGGGATTTGTAATGCTTTTTCTACATAAATTTTCAAAGAACTAAATTTATGGATCAGCTTTAGTCATTTTCATTTTTGATTTATTAACTTCTGCTTTTATGTGTTGAATTTATTCCTCCTACTTCCCAGAGGAAAATTTTCTTTTCTCTCAATTTGCTCAATTTAATGCCTAATTCATGTCCATTCTTTTTTTTTAAGGTAGTGGGGGACTCCATTTCGTACTCTGGGATCTAAATTTCTTGCATCAATAATCACATTTAAGAGGTTGTGTTTACCCTGGTTACCGCTCACTGCCGTCACTTTCTGGGCTGCAGGTCAGCTCTGCCGCAGGACTTCCGCGGGCACACACGAGCAGACACCCTCCCCGCGGCCGGCCCGCCACGCGAAGAGACCCCCGGAGTTTACGGCGAGGCGCGCCGAAGAGCCCTCTGGGAGATGCAGTTCCAGAGAGAGCGAGACTCTGGAAGATGTAGTTCCCGAGCGAGCGGGACTCTGGGAGATGTAGTTCTGCGCGGACACTTCCGCGGCTTGACCGCGTCAGTCTCGGCGCTGTGGGCTGCGGGGTGAGGGTGTGTGCTTCGGCGCGGGGGTGGCCTCCGTGTCCGCCGGTGTCCCGCGGTGTCCCCGGCGCGCCCGAGCCGGGTCCCAGGAAGGCCGGCGGGCGGCCGGTGGGGCGGCGTTGGGGTCAGTGGGGTCCGGGGCGGTGGGCAGAGCGCGGTGGTCAGTGAGAATCAGAGTGTGATCTTGGCTGAGGACCCCGGGGACTGGGTGATTCGGCCTGCGCCGGGTCACCGAGTGTCGGACCGCGAATGTTACGGATTGGAGCGTGACGGCTGGATCGGGCCGAGTGCGAACGGGGTCTGTGGGGTCAGGATGCGGTGTTAGTGAGGTGCGTAGTGGGGGGCCTGTGTGGATGAATGACTGGGGAGACTGGGCAGTGTGGAGTGGGGTTTAATTGGGGGCCTGTGGGGACGAATGACGGGGGAACTGGGTAGTGCGGAGTGGGTCTCAGTGCCTGCAGGTGCTGGGGGATGCGTGCGTGTGGACCTGTTAGGGCCGGCGTTCCGGGTCTGAGGGTCTGTAATCAGGTGTCGGCAGACAGTGATGGGACAGCTCCCGGGATCGGTGATGGGGGTCGCACAGCATTAGTGCTGTAAAGGTACCTGCGGGGAGTGAATGATGGGGCCGGTGGGCCTGAGTTGGTCTAAAGGTGTTGGTGATTTGGAGCTCAGAGCCCTGGACTTCGATGCCTTCAGGCTGGCAGTGGTTGGGGCATCTGTGGAGAGCAGAAATTGGGTGCCTCCTGGGGTCAGTGGAGGGCAACTGGAATTTGCTGTTTGGAAGGACCGTGAAGTTTAATGTTTGTGGGGTGAATGTCTGGGGTTTTTTATGGTGTGGGGATTGCTGGGGCTTGTGAGGGTTCTGTGAATGGAGAGACTGTGGATTTCATTGTTGGAGGGAGAAATTTTATTCTGTACCTTAGAGATGAGTGGCTTGGGAGGCCCTATGGGGGTAGGGGGTAGGGCAGTGCTGTGTGTGTCAGTCATTATAGGCTCATGGAGGAAGTGAGTGTACAACATCAGGTTATGTGGTGACTGGGGAATTGAGACCAGTGATTAGGATGCCTGATGGGTGAGGAATTGACGACTATTAGGGATAATTGATTGGGGAGCTTTATCTGGCTGAGTGATTGAGGAGGCCTGGGTATCAGTCATTGGAAGAGTAAGTGATTGGGGAACGATGGGGTGAAGGATCTGGTAGCCTGTGGATGGAGGTCAGAGATTGGTAGACGTGTGGCCGTAATTGGGGGCTATGAGAATGACTGACTGGGGACATAGTAGATATGGATAGTTGAGGAGACAGTTTATGGGGACAATAGGATGAGTCATTAGGAAGCCTGTGGGGGTTAGTAATTTTGAGTCAGTGACGGGAGTAGTTGGTATGAATGGTGGGATTGTGTGCGAGTTAGTGATGGGCCCACTGGGTCTGAGTGATTGGGAATTGCAGGGCTTGTTGGGGGTGTGACTGGTGGAGTGAGAGATGAAAAGTGGTTGATTAGGGAGCTGTAGAATTGATTGGGAGGTCTTTGAGAATAATGACTGAGTGGCCTCAGGGTCAGTGATTGGAGACTAGGCACGCCTGGATACCGGGTGTTGGTTGGTCTGGGGGCCAGTGAGTGGACTATGGAGAAAGTGACTGCGGGGACCTGGGCATGAATCTTTGAAGACCTCTGCAGTCATGTTTAGGGAGACCCTGTGGGAGGTGATGATTGGGGGACCCATAGAGGTAATGGGTGGTGGGGTATGGGGTGAGGAGTTAGGGGTCATTTGGGGGTTAGTGACTGAGAACTGATTGGGTGGCCTATGATATGATATAATAACAGGTCTATGGATATATTTATTGGTCTGAAAATATGTTCACTATATAGCACACAAGCCAGTTAAAAAATTTAAAAAGACTGTAAGATCACACTTTTGTAATAATGTCAGCATAGTTTCTACCAATCTGCGAGAGAGGTACCTTTGACGTAGTGAGATTATGGATAACAATTGTTTCTTTATTTAATGTACATGTATTTTCTCATTTCTCTGTAATCATATCATATAATAATAAGAGCACTAACTAGCATTTACTAAATGTTTATAAGCCAGTCACAGTTCCAAGCTTTTTACATGTATTAACTAATTTAGAACTCTCAAGAACATCATGAGGTTAAAGTGAACTGTTGTATTTTGAGGAAAAACTGCTGAATTATTCATTTAATGAACTGGTGGATTCACTTTCCTCTTCTATTCGCCTTTATTTAATGGTGAAGTGATATCCTTGTTTCCTGTTTGCTCTGTGTCTCACACACATGCTCTGTCTCTCTTTCAGAGAGGATGGTGGAGTAATACCCAGTTTTCCAGGTCACCCACCCTTGTCACCAAGAAAATCAGGTGGAGAGTCTTCAGACCTTCCGGAGTGCTGTGTTGTGGAAGCTCGTGTGAGATGAGAGTTCTGGAATTCAGTGGCAGGCCTTTCTCAGACCATTACACCGCACTCATCCGCTCCCTTCCCGCACATGCAGTTCTGGGTTTGGATTTTGCCCCTTTTCTCTTGCTCCCACATAATGCCAGGCCAGACTAGAGGGCCCTGCTCTGATCCAAGCACAGAAAGAAGCGGGTGTGGGTCCCTTCAGGTTAAAGAGTTGATGGGGACTCCAGTGGCAAAGGCAAGATTTCCATATACACATTCAGGCTCCAGAAACCCTTGTCTTATTCATTCTATTTTCCACTTATTTTAAGAGTCTTTAGTAGTCACTTTCATTTCCATATCTCCTTCAATCCTTATAAGCATCCTATGTGGTCTGTGTTTCCATCACCATTTAAAAACAAAACAAAACAAAAACCACCAGGCTCCTTGCTTAAAATCACTTGGCCAGCAAGAGGATAAGCTCAGATTGAACCTTATTTGTTTTATTCCGTATCTCATGTTCTTTGCCTGAAACACATTTAGTCCCCAGCACGTAGTTGTTTTATAGCAAGGGGTCTTGAGGAGATATTTACAGAGGAGCTATTAAGTGCGTCTCACAGATGATCACAGAATTAACAGGGGTATTTGGTGTTTTTGCAGGGTGCGTGCGTTAAATGCTGGGGTTCATGCTGTGGGGTTCTTTTTGCATACTCCAGTATTTTGGGTACTTGTTAGCTCTGTTTAGAGTCTATAGAAAACCCAGTCTGGGCTTTAAATGAAGATGAGTTTTCAGCAAGAGGGAGATTTAGATGTCAAAGAGTATTCCTCAGCTAAGGAGAATTTGCCACTGACTTGACAGACTCCAGTTTCCATGAAGTAACTGGCTGATTTGAGATGAAGAGGAGGAGGTCCCAGGACCAAGGATTCACCCTGGTGAAAAGTCCTGACCGGAGGCCCTAACCTGAGCCTCCAGACAGAGTCCAGAAGATTCACAGGATAGAGCAGAGCCTAGAGTTGTGGCCATTTCCCAAGAGCAGCAGAAAATGACCAAGTCCCAGGTGAGTAGTGTATTTATTTATTCTTCAGTTGTGTTTCCATACAATTCACCCATGTAAAGTGAACAATTTATTGTTTTCTAGTAGATTTAGAGGGTTCTGCAACCATCTAATTGTGCAGCCACAATCTAATTTTAGAATATTTTCATCCTCCTTAAAAGAAAGCCTGTGTTCATTAGCAGGTACTCCCTATTTCTCCCTCCTCACTCATGCCCTCAAGCTCGAGGCAACCACAAATATGCTTTACGTTCCTATGGATTTGCCCATTCTACCTGTTTCACATAAATGGAATCATAGAATACGTGGTCTTTTGTGACTGGTTTCTTTCATGTAGCTTATTTTCAGGTTGGGGTATATGTCAATACTTTATTCTTTTTTATTGTGGAATAATACTACACTTTATGACTATACCACATTTTGTTTATCAGTTCATCAGTTGCTAGACATTTGGGTTATTTCCACGTTTTGGCTGTTCTGGATAATGCTGCTATGAACGTTTGTGTATATGTTTTCTATCCTCTTGGGTATATACCTAAGAATGGAATTGCTGGTTCATGTGGTAACCATATATAACATTTTGAAAAACTGATAAACTGTTTTTCTAAAGTGGCTGCTCAATTTACAATCCCACCAGCAGCATATAAGGGTTCCGATTTCTCCGCCTCCTTACCAGCGCTTGTTGTTGTCTGCTTGGTCGTAGCCGTCCTAGTTCGGGTGAAATGGTATCCATTGTGGGGTTGATTTGTATTTCTCTCTGTATCCTTGATGCTCTGTAATTTCACATTGATGTGTCTGCATATAAAATTTTTATTCACAGCCTTTATTGCTCTCAGTGGGAAGGCTCTTGTCTGCCTTCAACTTTGGGGAACTTTCTTCTTTTATTTCACTGACTATTTCCTTCCCTTTATTATTCATTTTCTCTAGTTCTGGAATACTTACTTGATGGATATTGTCTTCTGGATTTATCCTCCAAGTTTAAAAGCTTTTCTTTAATATATTTGACTTCTTTTTCTTTTCATTTTCATTCTTGCAGTTTCTAAGTTTGGTAATTCAGACTGCAAATGTCCTCTTCTACTAGATCCATTCTGCTATTTGGCCAATGTATTGAGCTTTTTTTTCCATTCAAGTTTTAATAATAACTCTAGTTGATCCTTTTAATGGATCAATGTAATGGTTGAAGAAAAGAGACCTGGGACTTTTGTGTTGTTTGCATTATTTGTTTCAAAATCAAAATACTGATTTTTCTAGGGGTGATAACCGAGGTAGGATGTAAAAAGCAGGTCTTGTGTTTGGCTTAAAACCGTTTTTTAAAAAAATTATCAGTAGCGTATTGGAGCCAGCTCATACCAATTTGCTAGAGCCAATAGTTAAATACTGAGGAATTTTGCAAACCAGTTGTTAAACTTGCATAGTTTGAAATCAGCCATGGTGGGAATATTTACAACACAGATATTAGCAAATGCTACATCTTAGGGCTCTGTTTTGCCAGAAAATTGATTTATCAGCACACCACTAATTGCAAGTCTGGATCACATTACATATCTAATCATTCTCAAAAGTCATTCACAAGTTTAGCTACTTCACATGTCAAATTGATTGATCTAACTGGAGTCATCTCTTATAGTTATATTAGTAGTCAACATGGTACAGATCATGTTTAACCCGTGAACTGACTGTGTGCCTGTGCATATCTTGTAAGAAAGGAGCCATGTGTACATGACTGGGGCATGTCTAAAATGGACTGCCCGAGATCTGTCTTAAGCTGTTGGTTTTCCTCTTCACCACTCTGCCCCAGTACTGTGGGTTTTTTGGTCTATCTTGCTTTCATTATAGTTAAGTCCAAAATATTTTCATTGTGATTTCTTCTTTGACCCCTGTATTATGTAGAAGTGTGTTGCTTAATTTCCAGATATTTGAGGTGAGGACTTTCCTAGATATCTTTTTGTTATTAAGTTCTAATTTTATTCTGTCATGATCAGAGAACATCTGCTTATGACATCAGTCCTTTGGGACTTGTTTTATGGTCCAGCCTATGGTGCATCTCAGGGAATAATCCACGTGCATCAAAAAGAATATGTTGCTGGGTGGAATGTTCAATTAATGTCAGTTAGGTTAAGTTAGTTGATAGTATGTTCACTTCTTCTATATCCTTACTGATTTTTGTCTACTTGCTCAGTTATTGAGAGAGGCATGTGAAAACCTCCAGTTCTAAATATAGGTTAGTCTATTTCTCCTTTTATTTCTGTCAACCTTTTTGTTGAGGATTTGTGCAAGAGTTTATGTACAATAAATTCCTAGAAATGGAATTTCTGGGTCAAAGGCCACGCAAGTATACATATTGATAGAGATTACCAAATTGCTCTCCAAAAAGTTTATTCGAATTCACATCCTATCGACAGTGTTTTGCTGACTCTTCCCCATAGCCTCACCAGCACTGAGTCTTAACTTTTTATCCTTGCCAATCTGGTAGATGAAAAATGGCATCTCTTTGTTGTTTTAATTTACATTTTTTAAATTATTAGTGATAATCTCTTTTCCATTTTTATTGTGATAAAACACACATAAAATTTACCATCTTAAGTATTTTTAAGTGTACAATTCAGTGATATTAAATATATTGATAATGTTGTGCAACCATCACCACCATCTACCTCCATAACTTTTTTACCTTGTAAAACTGAAACTCTGTACCCATTTATTTTTGTCAGTTTTTGCTTCATATATTTTGAACTCTATTATTAAATGTATGCACATTTAGGATTATTATGTTTTCTTGATGAATGGGCCCTTTTGTAATTATGGCATGTCCTCCTTTATCTCTAGCAGTACCCCTTGTCTTGAAGCCTACTTTGTTTAACACTAATATAGCTACACTGGTTTCCTTATGGTTAATGTCTGTGTGATACTGTCTTTTCCTTCATTTTACTTTTAACGTATTTGTACCTTTATAATTAAGTATGTCTCTTGTAAGTATCCTATAGTTAGGTCTTACTTTTTTTTTTTTTTTTTTGGTGAGGGAAATCAGCCCTGAGCTAACATCCATGCTAATCCTCCTCTTTTTGCTGAGGAAGACCGGCTCTGAGCTAACGTCTATTGCCAATCCTCCTCCTTTTTTTATTTCCCCAAAGCCCCAGTAGATAGTTGTATGTCATAGTTGCACATCCTTCTAGTTGCTGTATGTGGGACGCGGCCTCAGCATGGCCGGAGAAGCAGTGCATTGGTGCATGTCCGGGATCCGAATCCAGGCCGCCAGCAGCGGAGCGCGAGCACTTAACCGCTAAGCCACCGGGCCGGCCCAGGTCTAACTTTTTTCCATTCTGATAATCTCTCTTTTATTTGGAGTGTTTATTTAATCCATTAACATTTTAAATAATGTTAAATGTTAAAAGTAAGATACATTTGGGTTCAAGCCTACCGTCTTGCCATTTGTCTTCCATTTGTCCTATTTGTTCCCTGTTTCTCTTTCCTTTCTTCTTTGGGATTGGTTGTGTGGTGCTCCACGTTCTTGGGTGCTGGAGGGCATATGCCCGTGAACCTCCATGCAGCTTTCCCTCCTGCTTTCGACACCTGAGTCCTCAGGCACATAGGTGAAGCACTCCTGGGCTTCCCCACTCCTTCTCACCATGACTTGGGGGGCTCACCCTCCTTGGTGAGTCTTTCAATGTTGGTGCACAGGTGTGGGGGTCTCACCCTTCTTGGTGAGTCTTTCAGTGTTGGTGGATACATGCTGATACATCTCCATGCAGCTGCCCTTTGAAGGCTGTTTTTCCTGGAATAAAATTCTAGGATTGTTTGTTCATTTGAGCGCCTTAGGCATCTCAGACGGTTGTATGCTGGCTTGCATTGTGAAATGGTGAGAGGTCAGTTCTCGCTCTTATTGTTGATGCCGGGAATGTAATGTGTCTGTTATTCTTTGGCTGATTTTAAGATTTTCTCTTTATCGTTGGTTTTCAGCAGTTTGACTCTGATGGGCCTTGGTGTGGTTTTCTTTATGTGTATCCTGCTTGGGGTATCCTGAACTTCCTGGGTCTGTGGGATGGTGTTTTTCATCAAATTTGGAATGTTTTCAGCTGTTATTTGCTCAAATATTTTTTTCTGCTGTATTTTCTTTCTTCTCTTTTGACCTTCCAATTACCAGTGTGTAAGACCTTTTGATATTATCCTACAGGTCATTGATACTCTGTAAATTTTTTCCCAATTTTTTGTGCTTTAGTTTGTATAGTTTTTGTTAACCAATTTTCAAGTTCATGAATCCTTTCCTTTATAATGTCAAATCTGTGAAGTCCATTCCATAAGTATTTTATATCAGCTATTATATTTTTCACTCTAGAGTTTCCATTTGGTTCTTTTTTTTTTTTATAACTTTATTTATTTATTTTTCCCCCAAAGCCCCAGTAGATAGTTGTATGTCATAGTTGCACAACCTTCTAGTTGCTGTATGTGGGACGCAGCCTCAGCATGGCCGAGAAGCGGTGCGTTGGCGCGCCCGGGATCCGAACCCAGACCGCCAGCGGCGGAGCGCACGCACTTAACCGCTAAGCCATGGGGCCGGCCCTCCATTTGGTTCTTTTTAAAAAAATTAATTTCTTTTTCTCTCCTGAAATATTCCATCCCTTCACCCATAATGTCTATGTTTTCTCTAAATTCCTTTTTTTTTTTTTTTGTGAGGAAGATCAGCCCTGAGCTAACATCCATGCCAATCCTCCTCTTTTTGCTGAGGAAGACTGGCCCTGGGCTAACACCCGTGCCCATTTTCCTCCACTTTTTTTATATGGGACGCCACCACAACATGGCCTGACAAGTGGTGCATCGTTGCATGCCCGGCATCCAAACTCGGGCCACCAGCAGTGGAGTGCACACACTTAACCACTATGCCACGGGGCTGGCCCCTCTCTAAATTCTTTAATATGTTTATAATTGTTATTTTAGAATCCTCCTCTGTTAATTCAAGTTGCTTGGCCATCTGTGGTTCTGCTTCTGTTGGCTAGTTTTACTTTTTGTGGCCTTAATTATTGGTCACATTTTTTTACTTCTTTGTATATATGTATGTTTTTTTGCAATCTAGACATTGCAAATAAAAAACAGTAGAAACTAAAGTACAAATTTTAGTTTTGCTCGTTTTCCAGAGCATACAAACTCTTTCCTTTAGAAATTAGGATGGAGGGCCGGCCCCATGGCTTAGCGGTTAAGTGCACGTGCTCCGCTGCTGGCGGCCTGGGTTCGGATCCCAGGTGCACACCGACGCACCGCTTCTCCGGCCACGCTGAGGCCGCGTCCCACATACAGCAACTAGAAGGATGTGCAGCTATGGACATACAACTATCTACTGGGGCTTTGGGGGAAAAATAAATAAATAAAGTTATTTGAAAAAAAAAAAAAGAAATTAGGATGGAGGTTTATCATTCAGTTTTTTTTTGGAGGAGTTGAATTACAGTTAGTTCACAGTTTAAATTAGATTAGATTCACCTAGAATTAGCCCAACCCTAGCTTCCTCCACTTAACACTGCCTTTTGATCTTTTCAGTATTTGAGCTGAGAGGGGGTTGGACTGCAGTTCAGTTAATTTTGGTTCACCTAGATATTCAACGCTGGAAGACTCCTGGAATCCAAGCATTATAAAAGTGTGCAGGACTGTGCAGTTTTTCTCTGCTTTCCACCTGTGCCAAAAAGGAGTTAACATGATGGGCCTGAGGCTGCTGTCTTTAGAAAGGCCTACTTGCAAGGTAGGTATCTGGAAACTCAGCTTGTGGAGAGTTCCCTCCACTGCTATGAAAAGTTCCCTGATTGGTAAAGGTGTGTCCCTGTGCCCAGACTGTATAGACAGTTTGATTTATAGAACACCCACTTTCCTTTTGGTAGTTGTGAGGCAGAGGGTGCTGATTTTACTCCTTCCATTAAAAGTCTTGGGTGCCGCATCTCTAATGTCTTTCCTGGGCAGAAACATCACACGAATTTGCTGCATTTTCGTTGCTGGGGTAGAGTGTGCTCTGTGTGACCCCTCATAGGAGGGAGCAAGCTTAGGAATACCGTGCATGGATTCCTCCAGACCCTGCCTGCATCTGCATCTTTTTCCCTTTCTGATCTCGCTATGTATTCTCTCTGGGTTGCTATAATATATCTTAGGCATAACTACAACTATGCCAAGTTTGTGAGTCCTTCTAGTGAATTACTGAATGTGTGGGTGGTCTTGGGGACCCCTGAAACACCACTCTTTTTCCTTATGCACTTTCTTGGCAAAATTCCAGTGGAATGGAGTGAAAAATTGTTGGGCTGAGCAGTTTATTTCTGTGTTAGGGACTCTTCCAGACTCCAGTTCTTCCCATCAGTCCTCACCCTTGTCTAAAACTTGGTTAATTTCTTCTCATTCCTGTTATGTTCCTCTGGCTTATGGCACCTGCCTCTCTGACTGCCCATATCCAGAACAAGCACCTGCCCCTATGTATAGAATCCACTGTGGTTCTCTGCTAACCTGTGAAGGCTTCCTTCTCTCTGAAATTGAATTCATCAAAACTTCCTTGTATCCGTAAGTCTTTGCTGGCCCTATAGAAAAGTATAATCATTACACAGGTTCGCAGGAGCAAGGGCCTTTTGCATCTTCCTACATCTTAATGGAAAGTGGAGGTCCTATTCTGTCCTCATTCTTAAATGATACTTTGGTTAGGTATGAAATTCTAGGTTGAGAGTCATTTTCTCTCAGTGCTTTAAGGAAATGATTTCACTGTCTTATGTCTTCTATTATTGCTGTTAAGAAATCTGTCAGTTTAAACAATAATGTACAACAAAAATTTCACAATAAAGGAAAAAAACTAGAAAAAAGGTAAAAAAAAAAAAAGAAATCTGTCAGTTTAATTGTTGTTACTATATAGGTAATATATCTTTCTCTTTAACTTCCTGAAGGATATCTTTCTTTGCCTTTGGTATTCTGCAGTTTCACAATGATGTATCCAAATTTTTCATCATCATCATTATTATTGTAATTATCACTATTTATCCTTTTGGAGAAATATTATGATTCCTGAAATTCATGTCTTTCATAACTTCTCAGCTGTTTTATCTTGGACTATTTCCTCTTTCTCATTCTCTCTATTCCTTCCTTGGGGAACTCCTTTTTAGATGAATATTGCACTGTTTCATTTTGTCTCTGTGCCCAGTACCTTCTAGTTCATGTTTTCAGCCTCTGTGCCGCATTCTCATATGTTCTGGTCTGTCTCACTCATCTATCTGTGTGGCCCTTCAACCCCCTCCAGGGACTTTTTTAGTTTTAGTCAATATGTTCTCATTTCTGCCATTTCTCTTTTGTTGTTGTTGCTGCTGTTTTCTAAATCTGCTGGCCTTTTAAATATTGTCATGTTTTTCTCATGTTTTGACTCCTTTTATTGTAACTTTGGGGGTTTTAGCATCCGTTTTTATAGTTTATGTCCAATATTCCGTTTTTTCATGTTTTTAGGAGTTAAATTCTACCTTTTATTATTTCTGCTGACTCTTGCTTGTGCTCGTGTTTAAATTTTGGAGTAAGATTTCATGTTTGTCTGTCACAGTCTTGGGCGGCCTGGGTTGAGATTGTGTCCCTTCATAAATAATTTGTTTTGCTTCTACTAAGTAACCCAACAGAGGAATTACTGGTCAGGGACCACTTGGTTGTTAATTTCTTAGCTTAGAAGTTCCTGGATCTTGCAGGTAGGATACATCGGAACCACAAGTGTGTGTCAAGGAAGATCCATGATTATAAATTCTCAGAGTCAGAAATGCTTTTACAAGTATGCCATTAAGTTTCATCTATATTCTTATCTGGAGCTATTATTCATGCATTTTGACTACTGTCTAATTCGTTGTTTGACTCCATCACTATTTATTTTCTTGTCAATAGATTTTTGAGCTGTTTTAAACATTGATGCTCTGAAAAGGCTTATATTTTTCACCTAGTACACATGTGTGAGAAAGTCCCTAAGGCAGGCTCAGCAAACTTTTTCTGTAAGCCTGGTGGAATGCTTTAGGCTTTTTAGGCCGTAAGTTCCCTATGGCACCTCCTCAGCTCTGCTGCTGCAGTGTGAGAACGGTCCTAGATAGTACATAAACAGATAGGTGTAGGCCATCTTTCAATAAACTTTATTTTAAAAAATAAGTACTGGGCTGGACTTGGCCACGGGCTATAGTTTGCAGACCCTGCTCTAAGGTATGAACTTAGAGAATGGAACTGCTGGGTCATAGCAACTGTGAATGTTTCCCTTTATAAGATAATGCCAAATTGTTTTACAGAGACTGTATCAGTCCACACTTTCACCAGCAGTGTGCTTGTTTCCGTTCATCCACATTCTTACCAACTCTTGATATTGTCAAGTTTTTAATTTTTGGCAATCTAGTGGGTGTAAATGATAACTCACTGTAGTTTTAATTATACCACCTATATTCTTCTATCATAGCCTTTGTATAAATTTGACTTGCTGTCCAAAATGGAAAGCTCTCTGAGGGCAGGATATGTTTTATTCATCTTCATACTGACAGCACCTACAGCAGTACCTAACACATTTGTTGATCAATACACACATTATAGATCATTTTATCTTATTTAAAGCACTTAAAATATAGTAGGATTTTTTTTTTTTAAAGATTTTATTTATTTATTTATTTCCCCCCCAAAGCCCCAGTAGATAGTTGTATGTCATAGTTGCACATCCTTCTAGTTGCTGTATGTGGGACGCGGCCTCAGCATGGCCGGACAAGCGGTGCATCCGTGCGCTCCCGGGATCTGAACCCCGGGCCGCCGGCAGCGGAGCGCACACACTTAACTGCTAAGCCATGGGGCCGGCCCAGTAGGATTTTTAAAAGATTTTTGTTTCTCAAATAAACTGTGATGCAAGACTGGGTATATGATACAGAGCCTGTATAATGAATCCTGATAAGAATGGTCAAAAGAAATATATCAATTAGGAATGCTTTCATTTACATGTAATAGAAAACCTAAATAATAGTAGCTTTAGTAATAAGGCCATTTAATTTTCTCCTATGAGACACCCGGAGGTAAACAGTCCTGGGCTGGCACAGCGCTTCACTGTGTCATAAAAGATCAAGGATACTTCTAGTGTTTCTTTCTGCTGTACTTCACAAGTTGGTTTTCTGTACTACACGTATTGCCTCCTGGATCAAGATGGCGACTGCAGCTCCAAGTATGCCATCTCTGTTACAGCAGAAAGGGGGGACAGAAGGCACTATCAGTATCTGTCTCTTGTATCAGAAGAGCAAAAGCTTCCCCCAAATTGCCCTTGCACACTTCTTCTTCCATCCCACTGCCAGAACAGAATCATGTGGCTCACTCTAGATGTATGAGAGAGAAGGACAGAGGGAAATAGGCCTGTCAAGACTGGCTGAGAACCATTATGATTGGTTAGTGGGAACTGTGCACACTTTCACCCCTAATATAAGTGGAGTTAGCAAGAAAGGAGGAGAAAACGGCTATTTTGAAGACAACCAGTGGTTCCTACTACAGTGTTTCTTTATATCTTTATTCTCCAATAAATATTTTTCAGATGTAATATGAACATGCTCTCTCAGGGATCCTTGTCGTTTGAGGATGTGGCTGTGGACTTCACCTGGGAGGAGTGGCAGCTACTGGACTCTGCTCAAAAGACTTTGTACAGAAGTGTGATGTTGGAGAACTTTAGCAGCCTTGTGTCACTGGGTAAGGACATGTTCCTATGTGGACTCAGCCTCTGCCCAGTCAATTGTCTTTTCCTATTCATTTGCTAAAAACTGGGACCTTTGAAGCATTTTATGATTTAGGGCTTTAGTTTAAGAATTCAAAAATTCTTTTTTGTCTTCAGAGTGTTTGTATACTCACATCCCAAATGAAAGCCCTAGTCATGCAGCCCCTGAAGCAGCCTCTGAAACATTCATTTATTCTTAGAAGCTTGAAGCCCAAGAAATTGGGCTCAAGTCCTCTGATTTCCCATGTACAGGGTTTCAAGTTATCAAACCAGATGTGATCTTCAAATTGGAGCAAGAGCAGCCATGGATAATAGATGAAGATATCCCAGGTCAGAACTTTTCAGGTGAGTGAGTGACAACCTGTCATATGTGAGATGATGGAATTTAAATGCCAGTTTGCAATGGACAATGAAGTTAGTGAAGGGTGGGTACCTTTGCAATGTTGTTTAGAGAATCTTGAAGTCCTAAACCTTTGGAAGTGACTCAGGACCATCAAAGTGAGCTTCTTGGATACCCAAATATCATATCATATATATCAGTTATCCATATTAGGATAATCTCTCCTTCTTTGCTTTGATTTTAGAGTGAGATATGCTCCTCTTATCTGTACTGAGGAGTTTAACCTTGTCTTTCTCATGTAGGACCTTGTACATTCATGTTCCCTCTCAACACCCCAAACCTTATCTTGCCAATAGGTTCTTTTTATTTTTTCATGTACACAGATTCATTGTGATTTTTTTCCTCTCACTTTTCTAATTCCCTCCTATTTCCTTTCCCTTCCATTGTTAACTGCCTCAGATTACTATTGGATGCCCTCAGTCATTTTTCTATTCTTTCCTTGATTTCTTTTATAATAGTTTACTCCTTCTATCCCTGTAAACAAAGGAGTAACTTTGATGTCGTCATTCCCTGCCATCTAGTGCAACTTTTTGTTGCCTTGTCTTAGAGTTAATTGTGTTCAAATGAAACCCTACCTTTGCCTAGAACATATTATTATATCTTGGCCTCTAACAGCCTATTTAGTCAAAGTTTTTTTTTCTTTTCCTTATGTATTATTGGTTTTCTACCTCCATTCCCGTGAGAGCACTTTGCTTAATTTTAATTCCCAAACAAAAGCTTATAGTTGTGCATGATTATTTCTACAGTTCTAGTTCATAAGTTCTAGTTCATCTGGTTCACACTTATTGAAGGATTCACAAAATATGTTTATTGTTCTCCTCTCTAGAATACTGGAAAATGGATGATTACAAAGCTTGGCACCAAGAAATCCAAGACAGGCTTAAAAGGTTGGAACAAGCCCATGAAAGTAATGCAAGTGGAAAAATAGTTCAATCAGGCATGAACTTTGCACCTTTAAAGCAAAAACCCAATAAGTCTGTGTCAAATGGAAAACATTTGAAATATTCATTAGATTTATTTACTCAGAGTGGAAATTATGGAAGGAGGAAACCTGGTAAATTAAATGGATGTGAGAAATCATTTCTCTATACCAAACATGAAAAAACTTGTGTTGGATTAAAATGCTATGAATGTAATGAATGTGGAAAAGTCATCAGCAAGAAGTCTCGGCTCATTGTACATCAGAGAACACATACGGGAGAGAAACCCTTTAAATGCAGTGAATGTGACAAAGCCTTTTCCCAGAAGTCACATCTTGTTACACATCAGACAATTCACACAGGAGAAAAACTTTATGGATGTGAATGTGGGAAGGCCTTCTCTCGAAAGTCACATCTCGTTACACATAAGAGAACTCATACAGGAGAGAAACCCTATGAATGCAGCAACTGTAAGAAAGTCTTCTCTCAGACATCACAGCTCATTATTCATCAGCGAAGTCATACAGGAGAGAAACCCTATGGATGTGGTGAATGTGGGAAAGCCTTTAGTGGGAAGTCACAACTTATTACTCATAAGAGAACCCATATAGATGAAAAACCCAATGAATGCAGTGAATGTGGGAAAGCCTTCAGAGAGAAGTCAAGTCTCAATAAGCATCAGAGAATTCATTCAGGAGAGAAACCATATGGATGCAGTGAATGTGGGAAAGCCTTCAGCGGAAAGGCACTCCTCATTAGACATCAGAAAACTCATTCAGGAGAAAAACCCTATGGATGTAATGAATGTGGAAAAGCATTCATTTGGAAGTCACAGCTCATTATACATCAGAGAACTCACACAGGAGAGAAGCCCTATGGATGCAGTGCATGTGGGAAAGCCTTCTCCCAGAAGTCACACCTCATGATACATCAGAGGACTCACATAGAACAGAAACCCTAGAAATACGGTGAATGTGAGAAACGTTTAAGAAAATAATCACACTTTCTGTATCATAAAACTCATTTATAGAAATGCTATGAATGCCGTGAGTATAGAAGAGTCTTTGGAAGGAAGTTATACTTTCTTAAACATCAGAGTGCCAGCTGGGAGAGTAAGCCTGTGTATGCAGTGAATGTGGCAGAGACAGTAGAGCAGGTAGTCGTCTCGTTGTAAATCAGGTTATTCATATTGAGGAGAAAAATCATGACTTAAAAGAACATGGAAAAATATTTCCATCGAAATAATGTTCAAAAGAAATTCAGTTTCCCACTGTGATACTGTATTTTTAAAGAAAAGATTATATATTCTAAATGATAAGCATGTGAAGCTTTAAAGATATTTATCTGTATATGTATATGTTCAGTAATCACAACAGCAGAGTAAGAAGGATATTCTTTCAGAGGTATATAGGACTTATATTCCTGAATATGGCTACATAAGATGAAATTTATGTATTTTCATAGCATATGTGAAATGAATATAACCATGAACATGATATATGTCATGTACGTAGAATGGCATCTGTCGATTTCTACACAGAATATCATTTACCTTGTCCCACAACAATAGAATGTAAACTAGATCAAATGATTGACTTATTATTTAAAAAACAGTTTAAATCGTATTACCAGGTACTTTTTTGGCACAAGTAAATGAGTTGCAGAACTCCTACCGTGCTCTGTCTTCAGTAATAGGAGCTTGGATTTTTAAATAAAGTCTCTAGCTTCCTTCCTCTGAGTCACCAGTTTATATGCAGAATTGTTGTTTATGTTAAATATGTAAAGGCAAGAATGCAAGTTAACATGACTGAGTGAGCAAAAGAGAAGCTCTGAATCGTATTGCTCATCATTCTAAATATATGAAAAATGGAGTCAGTAAAAATAAAAGGCCCCCAAAATTTATCTTCCTGTTTTTTCAGTAGGATTTCTGTACAAGTTTAGTTATACATAGATTAAATATAATACAGCCAAGAAACTATCTGTATTTTATGTTAATATGATAAGACATTGTTATCTGTTTTCTGGGCCAAGCTTTTAATATTTTCCTAAAGTCCTTTGCAGATAATTAGAAGAAAAAACCCACTTTATTTTTAAACGGCTGTGTAATTCTGTAAGGTTACATACAGAGACTTTGCTAGGAGAATTAGGATTTTTGACAGTTTGATTCAGAGATCTCATAAAGATGAGACTTTAGAAATTGAGTTATTTTATTTGTAAAAAATATTTAAGCTTATTTAATTATTTAATGTACAAGAAACTTTGCAATGTGAAAGATATTATCTTGCTTTTAAATGTACCAACCTTTAATTAAGTTAAAATTTTTAAGACTTGTGTCTTGAAAATGCCAAAAGCCTTTTTGATTGTTGGTGAAATTTAGAGATTTACACTATTTCTTAAATGTGTTGCCAACACAAGAGACTTGTCTTTGTTGAAACTGTTAATGCAAGTTATACCTACCTCTGTTTAGAGTTGTTAGTAATGCCTCTCTTGGTCTTGCTTGACAATATCAATATGCTTTCTTGAATGATTGTAATGTTCAGAATTACAGAAAACTGACTGTTTTCATTAGAGAAAGGGAGACTCATGGACAGTGGTCTTTAGATTGTGAATCCAAGAGCAGACGTTAAGTGCATAGGGGGTTGTGTTCAAAATTAAAGTTAGGATCAGGGTTAGCAAAGTATCTCTGTGGGGGATGCCTTTGACCCCCAATTTCCTATGCAGCCCATATGAGGAGGTCTCCATTATTCTGAAGTATCATATGAGAACATTGTTGGCTGGTTTACCAGTCAGGGTCCAACCTTGAAAACAACAACTACTCTAAGTAAAACAGAGGGAATTTAACATGGGAACTTGGTTACACAGGTGATGGGAGAGGTGAGAAGCCAAAGAGGGTGATGAATGGAAAAGTGAGTAATAATTCCTTCACAGTTTCTGCTCTCCATCCCTGCAAGCTTGGGTCCCTCTGGGTGAGAGGTCTTAATTCTCAAGGAAAGAAGGCTTCTACCAAATGGCACAGCAATAGTTCCTTGACACGGGAAGTTAGAACTGTTTTGAGCTTCTTGTGCCAGTGAATCAGTAGTCAGAGGAGGAGGTTACTATTACTGCTGGAGTTTTTAATCCGTGGAATCAAGGGATTGCTGCTGCCCAGCTGGGCCAGGTGGACTATATATGGAACCACCAGACATGCTGAGCCTTCTGCTGTTTCCATGTTTGAGAGTAAATTTTAGTGAGAGACTAAAGCACTTCAATACAAATAGAACTACCAGAAATTCAGATTCTTCAGTAATGAAGATTTGGGTTTCCCCACCAGGTAGAGAACCTTGACCCGCTAATAGCTGGCTAATGGCAAGCATAACATGGAACAGGTGGCAGAAGAAAGTTATGAAAAAAAAAATCAGAGTTTTATGGCAAGTACAGAGATGAGCATACCTGCTATGTGTATTTCTGTTATGTTTCAACAAATTTTTCCTATTTTTCTTTTGATATGGAGCATTGGGGAGGTTTTGTTTTATAATTTAGATCATAGATCATGAGATCAAGAAAAGTCACATTGTGCCTAGAGATCCTAGGCTTGAGATGTGCACAGTGACTTATAGAACTTTGTCTTGCTCTTATTGGGGGAGAGGGTGTCATTCTGTGATTAGTTGATTCATAATAGGCAGAAGTGTCACATATGTGTATCATAGAAGGGTGAGAAGAAAGGATGCTGAATGACAGAATGGAGGGACTGTGCTGATCCTGGGCCTACTTGGTCCTCAGATCCGTTCCTTCTGCTACCCCTGCCTGCTCTGCTCTCTGGCAGGGGCAGTGTGGCCCACAGGATGTATTCCAGCCTCCTGTGTCAGGTGCTTCTAGATGAGTTTTGTTAGTGGAAGGTATTAGTGGGAGATTGGAGGGTGTGAGATTAGTGAAAACCAGAGTATTTCTTCCCATCCGTGCCCCAGATAATGGCTCCAGCAATGGCTGTGTCCCGGCTGTGGCCCCAGCTCTTCCTATATAGGCCTACCATGGTTGCAGTGCCACTGGGTGACCCTGGACTCTGGGCTCCAGTAACACTACCTCCTCCTCTTATCCCTGCAGCCTCGTCATGGTGATGAACGCTGCTTCTGCTGTCATCTGGGATGCCTCACCACCCTCTTTGGCTTCTCTTCTCTCCTATCACTTGTGTAACCCACTTCACATGTTAGGTTCCCTCTGTTTTACTTAGAGTAGTTTTTATTTTCAAGATCAGACCCTGTGCATTACAGCTATGGGAGAAACAGCATCTGTTGGTTGCAGGCTCAGAGCATATAGTGCATCCTATAAGACAGCATCCCAACCTTGCAGAGTATGTGAGTTCCTAGCAGAATTATTCATAACAGCCAACTCCTGGGAACAATTCAAAACAGCTTATCAATGGATAAAGGAAATGTGGTATAACCATACAATAAAATAATTTTCAGCAATAAAAAGGTGCTAAAACATAGTTGTGGCAAGAAAGGAACCAGACACAAGAGACTAGATATTCTATTTATATGAAAATGTCCAGAAAAGGCAAATAAAAGATGCAGATCTGTGATTGTCTTAGGCTGGGGGTGGAAGGAGGGACTGACTGCAAATGGGAGTGGGGGAATTTGTGGGAGTGATAAAGCTGGGTTGTGGTGATGGTGCATAACTACCAATTTACTGCCAAGTCATTGAATGGAACTCTTATAATGGGTGAATTACACCTCAATAATGCTGTTTAAAAGTGGATAGAGCTAAAGGGAAAAATAGAAAAATGCACAATCATAATTGGAGATTTTTTGCTCCCTTCTCTTAGTAATAGAACAAGTGCACACAAAAAATCCAGAAGGATATAAAGTATTTGGGAAATTTAATGAATGAAGCTGAGCTAATTGATATTTATAGACCTCTACATATAAAATCTGCAGAATGCACATTTTTTTCAAGTGACATGGAACATTCACTAATGTACACCATATGTGAAGCCATAAATCAGGTCTCCATAGATAAAAATCATAGGATATGCTCTCTAGTAACAATAGAATTAAAGATAATGGTAAGCCCTCTAGGAAATGCCCAAATATTTGAAAACTAGGCAATACACTTTTTTTTTTTGCTGGGGAAGATTTACCCTGAGCTAACATCTGTGCCAGTCTTCCTCTGTTTTATATGTGGGTTGCTGCCACAGCATGGCTGCCAATGAATGGTGTAGGGTGTAGGTCCACACCCAGGAACCGAACGTGGGCCACCAAAGTGGAGCACGCCGAGCTTAACCACTAGGCCACAGGGCCAGCCCTGGCAATACACTTCTAAGTGACACATAAAATAAGAACTCAAAGGGGAATTAAAGAAATAGTTTGAATAAATGATAAGGAAGACAACACACCAAACTTCAAGAGATGTAGCTGAAGCTGTGCGTAAAGGGGAAATTTATAGCTTTAAATGCTAGAAGGAAAGTCTGATATCAGTGATTTAAGCTTCTGCCTTACAGAGCTTGACAAAGAGCAAATTATATCCAAAGTAGAAGGTGGGAAATAATGAAGATAAAAGTGGAAATCAGTAACATAGAAAACAAAAAATAGAGAAAGTTAACAAAAATATAATTGGTTCTTTGAAAATATAAAACGGATAAACCCCAGCTAGACCAATCAAGAGAACAGAAAAGTCAAATTATTCCTGGCAGGAATGAAAGAGGAGTTATCATTACAGATGCTATAGATATTAAAAGGAAAATAGGAGAGGGTGACGTCAGCATCGTGGCAGAGTGAGCTTTCCCGTAAACTCTTCCCCCGGTAAGAGACAACAAAAGGAACAGTCACAGACCAACAACGGACTCCTACACAGCAAAAAGGAAGATCAGAAAGATCCACACTACTGCACATCTGAGAGTGGACATGCTGGGGCCCCCGGAGGAAGTGGGGAGAGGCAAAGAGAAATCCTCTCCCTCCCTGTCAGATAGTGATCCGGGTCTGTGCAGCTCCCAGAGAGTGGGGAGGAGCGGCCCTCTGTGGGAAAACCGTAGCTCTTCAGGCTCTCTCAGCCAGTGGGAAATGCCCACACAGAGGACTCAGAACTGCTGCAGGGGTGCCATCAACATCTGAGCACCCCAGGAGAGTGGATAACAAGGGGCGAGCAAGAAGCCCCCCACTCCAGGGACCCAGCGGGCAAAAGAGAGAGCCCCCCCGCCCGGCATGCCCGACACTGCAGCTCAGCCGACCAGACAA